AGTAAAGCCGCTTCCTTAGCTGCGGCGGCGGTGTAGCCACCGCGGGGGGATTCCTCCCGCACGCCGGGATCGGCAGGGCCACCCTTGCTTTTAGGGCTTTGTTGTGGTACGAAGGGAGGGACGTGGGGGACGTTTTGACTTGGGTACGTGGGCCCTGCTCGAGGGGCGTTGGCGGTTGGCGCTCCACGCCTCGGGCCAGCCGGGGTTCGTATTTCTGCGTCATCGTGGTCCAGTCTCTGCGGGGGCGTGGAAACCTTGCCGCGCAGACCCGTTAACGTTCCACCCCTCGCCTCTGTGAATCACGTATTTAAGAATTATCATTAAAATCTGCATTGATCGCACAAACTTCACTCAACATCAACACAACAGAAAAATTCCCCACGCCGAGATTAAATTAACTTCATCACAACAGCAAACGGACGTGGACAGTTCACACACAATCCACCCCTTGGCCCTTCACCACAATGACAACGTTAATTTTCCGTAATCATTCTGCTTTCTAACGTTGTTGCATCCATGTTTTGCCCGTCAGCTCTCCCAGATTATTATCCTTATCTCTTCGAGCCCCACGTTGGGCGCCGAAACGATTGCGGTGGGTTAACCCCGGCCGGCTGCCAGGTGCCCACCAAGGCCGCTCCGTCACTCCCCCTCCTTAACTGGACAGGGGAGAGGAAAAAAAACCCAACAGGCTTGCGGGGCTGAGGGCAGGGCAGGGAGATCACTCAGCATTTACCATCCGGGGCAAAACAGACTTGATTAAAGGAAAATGTAATTTATTACCCATTAACTCAGAGAGGAGGAATGAGAAATAAAACCAAATCTTAAAACACCTTCCCCCCCCACCCCTCCCTTCTTCCCGGGCTTAACTTTATTCCCAGTTTCTCTACCTCCTCCCCACGAGTGATGCAGGAAGACAGGGAATGGGGGTTGCAGTCAGTTCATCACAAGGTGTCTCTTCTGCTCCTTCCTTCTCAGGTGGAGGACTCCTCACACTTCCCCTGCTCTAGCACGGGGTCCCTCTCACAGGAGACAGTCCTCACCACGTCCCGTGCCTTCCCCCCCGCGGCGCGTCGGGCGGCTCCCAGCGGCCCCGCGGTCGCCTCATTTTGCCGCTCTTCTTTCTCCCGGCTTCAGAGCAGCTCATGCGCCAGACCTTTTCCCCCTTCGGGCAGATCATGGAGATCCGAGTCTTCCCGGATAAAGGCTACTCCTTTGTACGGTAGGCTGCCGGGCGGCGCGTCTCGAGGGGAACGGAGCGAGAGTTACGGGTTCACGGGCGTCTTTTGGGGAGCGCGAGAGGGGAAAGGCGGCGGTGGCTTCGCCATCCTTACCGC